TAAAGACTGAAGTTGTCAAAGACTTCAATTTGCTAGATCGACAATCAACACTCAAGGAAGCAGCAGTCAAGAAATCAGACGTATTGCATTAGGCAAATCTGCTGCACAAAATCTCTTGAAAGTGTTGACGAGCAAAGATGTCAGTTTGAGGAGTAAGTTGCCCCTGACCCATGCCATGATATTTTCAGTAGCCTCATATGCATGTGAAAGTTGGACAATGAATAAGGAAGATCATAAAAGAATTGATGCATTTGAGTTTTGGTGCTGGAGAACAATATTAAAGATACCATGGACTGACAGAAGAACAAACAAATCTGTGTTGGAAGAAGTACAACCAGAATGCTTCCTGGAAGCCAGGAACACAAAACTTGGTCTCTCATGCTTCAGACATATTATCAGGATGGACCACTCATTGGAGAAGGACATCATGCTTAGTAAAGTGGAAGGTTAGCAAGCAAGAGGGAGACACCCAACAAGATGTTTTGCATGGTGGCAGCAGCAATGAGCTCAAGTGTGACAACGACTGTGAGTTTGGGGAGGATCAGGCAGTGTTTTGTTTTGTTGTACACAGGGTTGCTGTGAGTCAAAACCTACTTGAGGGTACCTAATAACAACATATTTCTCAATCATTTAATAGATCTTAAACTGTGTTAGTGCTTTTAATATGCTTCTATTTGTTTTCTTAACATATCATTGTTGACGTTTTTGAGTGGTGTGTACTAATCCCATAAACTTTGTAGGGCTTATTGTACAATTTTGCAAGTTGTTGTTGTGTGCTGCTGAGTGGATTGCAATGCACAGCAACCTTCAGAACAGAGTATAACTTATAACTGGCCATATGGTTTTCTAGGCTGTGACCTTTACAAGAGCAGATCACCAGAGATCTTTTTTTTTATGCTGTTGCTGCTGAGTTCAAACCGCTGAACTTTCAGATTTCTTGAATCAATGTGCCATCAGAACTCCTCCAATTTTGCACAGCATTACAATACAACTGACTGGTCACAAATACAAATAGTAATTGTAGAATACTGAATTAGTGGATATCCATCAAATGGTCTATGCTACAAACATCTATTCAAGTATCAGTAGAGGATCACGGACATTGATTAATATAAGTCATAAAGAGAACCTCCAAAAATTCTAAAGAGTAAAAATTCTATAGTCCATATTCTCTGGCCATAAACCTAGTTTTTAACATGAAAGTAACTGGGGGAAAAAATGAAACTTGGAAACTGACAATTATTCTCTTAAACTCAAATAAGAAAGAAAACATAGTGCAGTGAATTATTTAATGTCTCTTCTATACATATTGTTGTTGATAAATGCCGTCAAATTGATTCCAATTTATAGCAACTCTGTATAGGGTTTCCAAGAAACAGCTGCTGGTCTGGGTTTGAACCACCAACCTTGTGGTTAGCAATCCTGTACTTACACTATAGCACCAAACCAGCAAAGTCCCATCAAATGACTTTTTCCTTTTAGGTCTGGTTAAGAGAAGGTAAGGGGAGTGGGTGGAGAGATACTGATATATAATATGATTCACTGGGCATGACTGTTACATGATTGTGATTGTCAACACTTGGATTGGTTAATGTTGCCATCCTGTTAGGTTTACAATGAGCCATTTCAGAAGCAGAAGTGAAAGCACTAACTATCATCTAAGGGGAAGCAGGAGTATAGCAGTTACTTTGGACCCAGAGATACCTTCACACTGAACCACCTCGACTCAGGAACAGAAAGTGTGACACCGAAGGAGTGGCAGAGGAGCGGCAGAAACAGAACCAAGAGCCAGCGTACAAGACAGAAGGGTAGAGAAAGTAAAGGAGAAAGTAAAGCTAAGTAACTTTGGGCAGGATGCTTTACTTGTAGAGTGGGGTGCCTTCAGGCATTTATTGGGGGAAGCTAGGTTTGCTAGAGCCAAGTTCCTTCAGACAAAGACTTTAGGTATAGTGGCATGCCCTGTTAGTGTTTATAAATACTCACAAGAGAACTTTGTAACACTGGTGGAGCAGGGCAGAGGCCAGGTCAAGTGGCTGAACACCAGAGAGTGGCCTGCCTGCAGATATGGCCCAGCAGAGAAGAAACTGTTTTGACTAGAGGAACTGTGGCCTGAATACTTCTGATGACTCTGACAACTTGTAAAATCTGTTAGCTTCCCAAATAAAACCCATAACTGTGAGTACTGACGGAATCTGAATCCTATGTGGCCATTATAATGAATTATCAAAACCAGCTGTGGGAGGAATGGTTTGGTGTTATATTTTCGCAAAAATAATTAGGGGAAAAAAAAAAAAAGAGAACACTACACATAAAAAATGTAAAGCTAAATAGAACAATGGAGTCCTGGTGTGGTACTGCGGGTTAATGCGCCAGACTGCAAAGCCATTTGAACTACAAAGTCAGCGGTTCAAGCTCACCAGCTGCTCCCCGTAAACCCTATACAGGGTCGCTATGGGTCGGAACCGAATAGATGGCAGATGGCACTTAACAACAACAACAAATAAAACACTGCTAAAAGACACAGACTGAAATGTGCTTCTTATTAAAATCAGGACTTAGAACTGGTCCATTATGGTTTGAACGCCTGCTGAAAATTTGCACTTCCACTTCAAATATACTGAGTCATAATCTGCATCTCAGCAAGATCCCCAGTTGATTCTCCTGTGGATCTTGCTAATTCTCAGTCAGTATATCTTATAATACAAATTCTCAGTAGGGGTTGAAAAGGAAAAAACAGGTTCAAGCTCTGATTTAAAATAAATGAACTAGGTAAGGAGCACTAAAGAAAGCATGTGGAAAGAGTTGGGAGAGGTTTTTTTTTTTAAAAGATCTAAAGTAAAAATATTGGTTCTTTAGGGAGACAAAAATCAACAAAAATGGCAAAAGTTGTAACCAAACTAATCAAGATAAAGAAAAAAATCAGATACCCAAAGAAGCAGTAAGAAAGCAAAAATAACTATAGATAAGAAATTTTAGACAGCTGAACACTGAGCGAAATCTTGATTAAAATGATAAATTCTCTTAGGTTACCTTGCCTAGCAAAGTGTTTCGAAAATTTCTAAGACCTAAGCAGATCAAAAATATTTTAAAATATTACCACTTAGTCACAGAATGATTTACTAGATAAGCTTATCAGTTCCACAGGGTTTTACAAGGAAGGACTTGATTTTAAGGCTACAAACTAGTAGAGATCTAGTTAAGTAGGATTCAGAAATGCTAATGTGTTATGATTTGCCTGTGTGCATGTGTAAATTAGCTGCTAACATTTAAGTTTGAAAGTTAAGATAATTTACATTAATTTTGACACTCCATTTTTATTTTTGTCTTGAAAAATTAAAAACCAATCCTGATAACCCCAGTCAGATCCAGAGGCAATATGTGGTTGGAGAAGATTGGCAGCCCTTCTGAATGGGGCAGTTATTCCAGGTTCACTCCAGGAAGCCCAGGGCTTACTGTCCTTACTTATAGCACTTTCCTAGCATTTAAGCAAGACACGGTTCTAACCCATCAGGCACTCCTTGGAAACCCTATACAGGGCCACTATGAGTCAAAACTGACTCGATGGTACTTAACAGCAATCAGAAAACAAACAAAAAAGCTCCAATATATAATGATGGAAATAGCATTACCTGTCATTATGTCAATTTCCATCAGAATCCACTCAAATTTTTTTTTGGTAGGGTAGGAGGAATTTAATAAATTCTGAAAATCTTTTGGAAAGTTAAATCTTAAGGTAAGATTTGTACTGACCATTAGCACAGTATATCATAAAGCCACAAGAATTAAAATGGTGTGGTGTACTCCAACAAGAAATGTCAAGTGAAATAGGTTACAAAGTCTTCATATCAATGAAATTCTCAGGGAGGCAGCACAGCACAATGTGCAAGGGCACAGTCAAGAGGAAGATACCCTGAATTAGAACCAGTACAGCCACAACGATGACTCTGGATAAACGATCATCCTCACTTATAAAATGAACATAAAAACTGTGCCTAGTTCACAGGATCATTAGCTAATATTTGTAAAGTGATTAAAACAGGGATTCATATACACAGTAAGTTTATTAGTATTGTTATTGTTATATAGGGTTTTCAAGGAACAGCTGGTGGGTTTGAACTACCAACCTTGAGGTTAGTAGCCCAGTGCTTATTCTACAGTGCCACAACAAGTAAGCAATTTATGCTAACTCTAAACCCCAAGAAGCAAAGAACATGGTGAGCAAAACCCCCAACACACTATGTAAAAATTTTTATTTGGGGTTTAAAAAGTGAATGGTGAAAAATGAAACTAGGGGAAAACAAACTATGTCATATCTAACTGTATGATCTTTCAAAATACGACATCAAAGGAAGTATCAAAAAAGAAAACAGGTTAACAGTTTTGAATACATAAAAATGTAAACGTCCATATAGCAATCGCTAAGAACAAAAAACTGAGTTAATGCACTAGACTGCAAGGTTGGCGGTTCAAGCTCACCAGCTGCTCCTCAGAAATCCTATACAGGTTGCTATAAGTCAGAATCAACTCGATGGCACTGAACAATAAAAAGTATACGCATAATCAAGGAATACACAAAAAATACTTACCCTCCCTGAATGTAAAAGAAAACACACATTATAATAAAAAATATAAACTAAACTGGCCAGAGTTGTAGGAAAATATCATGTTGGCCAATATACAGAGAATTTTATAAATGATTTGGAAGACACAAGAATATACACTAAAACAACTTTCCAGGGATAACTTTCCTAAGGCTTCAAAAACATTTTTAAAATATTGAGCTCCTTTGACCCAGTCAACCTTCCATTTCTAAGACAAAGCTTTCAAAGTCAAGGCAAAAAAGATCTGAGGAAATAATAAAATTAGGTTACAATTTCTTAATATATAATGTTAAGATATAATGTTAAGAATTAAGAATTTTCACTTTCTAAAAAATTCAATATTATTCTACAGCATAATTAATCTTTATTACCAAATGTCAAAAAAATGTTAAAACAAACCTTTTAACAGCATCCTTCTTTTGAGTATCTATTGTGTCCCACCACTTTGAAAGGTAAGAGATCTCAGACCACATAAATTTCCTCCTTGTGTCTTCTTTCAGCTTTATAACCATGTTATTAAAAATATATTGAGTCTTGTCTCTAAAGTAGTCATCGAAAGTCTTCAACCAACCTAAATCAAGAAACAAATAGATCACAAAAGTCTGATTCATATACCTGATTTCAATGCAGTCAAATTCCATTGTATTGGATACTCTTAGATTATTTAGTCATACAAAGACATATTTAATTTAGCCAATGTTTTTAATTAATAAAATTCAATCTGGGTGGATAAGAAGACTCAAAACACCACACTCAAACACTAAAATGAAGCAAATACTCTGGTAAACTGCCCATTTACAAAAAAAGAAAGAAATGAGAAATTAACAAAGCAGACTGAGGCTCAAAAGGATGGATAGATAGATAGATAGATAGATAGATAGATAGATAGATAGATAGATAGATAGATATAGATATCTATATATCTATCTGTCTATATATCTATATCTCTATATCTATATATAGATATATATATAGCATAATTACAGACGCCCTGGTGGTATAGTGGTTATATACTGGGCAGCTAACTATAAGGTTAGCAGTAGGAACTCATCAGCATTCCATGGTAGAAACATGTGGCAGACTGCTTCCACAAAGATTTTATAGCCTTATGGAGTCCTGGTGTGGTTCTGTAGGATAAGCACTGGACAAGATCGATTTGAACCCATCCACCATTCCTAAGAAACCCTATGCAGGGTCACTGTGAGTCAGAATCGACTTGATGGCACTTATCAAAAACAACATACCCTTAGAAACCCTTTGGAGCAGGACTACTGTCTTATAGAGTCCCTATGAGTCGGAATTAACTTGATAGCAAAGGGTAGCATAATTACAGTATCTAATTTTATTATAATTTTATCTCCAGTTTAAGATATTTTTATCTTAAAAATATAAAAAAGATGACAATATTTTTCTCATTATATGGGATCAAAATTGTATCTTGATGCCACATTTAAAAGCCCCTATCCATTAAATCAGTTAAAATAAAAAAAACAAACGTATAAACTATACTTAAAAGCTAGCAATTATAGGACTATTATTAATACTGAGAATTCTAACAATTGGCACTAGTTCCAGACAATTGTTTATTATTCCTTTTGTTTGGAGGTACAAAGTGAAACCAGTCAAACAAAAAATATATATCTATATAAAGTGTTTTGTTTGCTTTCAAAAGTTATATGTAGGTATTAATAACTTGATTCTCTGATTTTTCCTACTAAATCTCATCTATCATGAAAATTTTATCTGAAGACATCAGCAAGCTAACTTTAGGAAAAAAATTTTACAAAATTCATCTCTAAGCATAATCATCAGGTGGTACACGAAGCAATGCAAAGAATGACCAAGGCAAAAATCTCCACTATCACGAATTCCACCTGCTGGTTGTAGGCAAATTGGGCACCTGGGAAGAAAACCTTGTTCCCACCTATGAAGTCGTGTAGGAAGGGGAGTTTCTACATATCCAAGCAGAATCTGTTTCCAAATCTCAAGTATGTGAGGACACTAAAATACTAGCAGTCCAGCTGGTTGTTTCATCTGTCAACTTTTTAAATTTTTTAAATTTAAATTAATATTCAATACATATTACACTCATTGGAGTCCTGGTATAGAGCTATAGGATAAGCACTAGACAGCATGGTCTGTTTGAACCACAAGATCGGTGGTTCAAACTCACCAGTAACTCCTCGGAAACCCTAAGTAGGGTTGCTATGAGTCGGAACTGACAGGGCGGCACTGAACTACATTATACTCACTGTCAAAATAAATAGACCAAAACTGCTATGGCAGAAAAGACAATAAACTATTTTAACAAAGCACATATGAGCTTCTATAAAGGATGCTGCAGCTTTAACTGTATTTATCCTTTTTACTTCAACTGAAATAGCCTTTCATTTCACAAATAATTTACTGAGCACCTACAATGTAGCAGGCTTCTGAATCTTCATAGGGCTTTCTTGACCTGGAGCATTTTTAAGCTAGTTTAAGCAAAAGGTGTTTGTTGTAGCCCTTAAGATAGATAATTGCAACTCAGAGTGATCCTATTGTTGTTAAGAGCCCTGGAGTAGATTCTGACTCATAGGGACCCGATATAGGGTTTCCAAGGAGCTGCTGGAAGTAAAACTGCCCCATAGGGTTCACAAGGCTGTACTATTTTATGGTTTGAACTACTGACCTCTCAAAGATTGAAGGTTTACCCACTGCACCACCAGGGCTCCTTAGCAAAGGGACCAATTCAACTTTTCCATATTTAAAGGAAAAGCTTGTGCCTATAAAATTCTATCATTAGTTGAACATAAATTATTCTACATATAGCTATGTGTAAAGATCTCTCATAAAAGAGTGGTTTGCAAAAAATCCCAACTTGCTTCACATAGACTCCTAACCTGGAGCCCTGCCCAAGAACACTAAACAAGGACCAATTTCTGAGTTCCCAGAGATCAGCAAAGAGTATCCAACCTACTCTGAAATAAAGATGCCCTAAGTTCATTGAGTTTAAAAATGTCAAGTTTATAAGTGAGCCTGGGATATAATAAAGTATCAGAGTATGGGATAAAGATTAGCTAGCAAAGGTGGCAGTAGCACTCTTTAATTGTCCCCTTCCCCATCTCTATTATAAAACCAGGGAAAGGGGAAAATAAAGAAGGTACTGAAAACCCTATGACTTATCTAAAACATTTAAATACACATTATTGTTAAGTGCTGTTGAATCGGTTCTGACTCACGGTGACCCTATAGGGTTTCTAAACATCAGCAGATAGGTTTGAACCACAGACCTTACAGTTAGCAGTCCAGTGCTTATCCCATGGTGCCACTGCAGGGCTCCTAAATACACATGGTCCCTGACTAAGGGTGGGGGTTCTGTTCACACAACTCTGTACTATGTTCTGTTTATTTAATTGAATACCTAATTTTTTCCTTATCATTATTGCCTTTTATTAACAGTATGTTTATAAATCCAATCTTTGTCTTTGGGGGTTGGCTTGAGAATGATAGCATCAGCAAATTATAAGCTGCAACACTGTATATAGAACAGATTACTAACAATAAGATATACAAAAAAAAAAAAAAAAAAAACCTAAGTTGGTTGTAAGTAGAGTAGGACTTCAGCCAGGGACTACCTGTATATGACACCCCATAAACTTTACACCAAAAATGAAATATCTTAGACTGTGATTCTTAAATACTGGCTACCCCAAATTTCAATTTACTCAGAATTCATTCTATGCCTTAGAGCAAATGAGTGTTATTACCAATCAGAAAAAATTACATGTGAGAAAAATGTGTTTTATCAAGTACTTTCATAATACTTAATTTAATAATATATGACAGCTATCTATATATTGCAAGATGAAGCTGAACCCATATGTACATAAGCTACATGTAGGTATATGTACATACTTATTATATATGCATAACAGGGACAAAGTAAGTTATTTAAATGGCTCTGTTAAAATTACCATCTTTAAAACATCACATATCTCTTTTTTGTCTAAATTTTTATAGAAGTCAAAACCAATTCCTAATTGGTAGTGGTGGTGGTATGCCATAGAGTTGGTTTTGACTCACAGCAACCCTGCATAGGGTTTCTGAGGCTGTAAATCATTACAGGAGCAGAAAGCCTCATATTTCTCCCACAGAACAGTTGGTAGTTTCGAACTGCTGACCTTGAGATTAGCAGATCGACTCGTAACCACTACGGTACCAGAGCTCCTAATTCCTAATTATTTGGGCACAATTAAAGAAACATGAAGTGTGAAACCTCCAAAATAAATTTAATTATAAAACTCCAATAAACTAGCATAAAAGCCAAATTTCGAAGGAATGCCCTTTACAAAGATTAGTAAGTATAAATTGTTTTATTTTGGAAGAACAATTACATATTTTCATCAGTTATAATTTGTTATAAACTAAGGTCATTTGAAAAAATGGTTTAGCACAAGAGTTTTCACTGAGGAATCACAGTGACTGATTACAGTAGTCCATTTTGCCTTCAATACTTCATTTGCCCTTCAACAACCATGCAGAAAATGTGTCAAAGATATTTACATGAGACAAAATATAAGCTCAGAGATGTCAACTTAAAAGCCTTGCATAAAACTCATCTATAATAGCTACTAATGCCACTACAATATAGCACAATTAATGAAGAATGAACTAAAAGATAGCCTCTTGCAGTTTTCAATATTGAGTAATATAACAGTAAATTAGCTTTCATTGCTCTTCTACAATAGAGTAATCAAGTATTCCTTTTAAACTGAATCGGCTCTTTCTTTTATAAATTATAGTAAAACTACAATTGTATATTAACATGAGACCAATCAGAAAGACAGCATTTTATGAAAAGTTGTATGGATGAATTTTTATGACATAAAATTATATTCCTACCTCTAGATTTAATAATCTTAGGACATTGAGTTGCAAACTATTTAAGCGATCAATTCAGTCTTTTTCTTTCCATTGAATATACTTGGAAATTGAACCAAGGCTAGAACAGAATTAAGAATGCACTTCAAATTATTCTTTCTCACTCTTAACAATATTACCAGTTGCCTTTGAGTCTATTCTAACTCATGGCAACTACCTATGTATCAGGGTAGAACTCTGCTCCATTGGGTTTTCAATGGTTGATTATTTGGAAGAATAGTTCCAAGCCTTTCTTCTGAAGTATCTCCAATGGACTCAAACTTCCTACCCACACTGTGGTTTTCTGTTATTTTAAATAAGTGAGGACATTTTTTAAACAAAAGTGCATAATTAATTAGAAGTTCTACAAAGCAGCAGGCATAGCTGCACATTTAATGCCACTATTTTATCATTTTGAAAAAATCAATTTCTATGAGCCCCACCCAGAAGTCCCTGAGTTGGGACATTCCCACCTGAACCACCCCAGAACTGCTGGGAAAACAGAAGAGTCTTAATGAAATAAAGACCTGCAGAAAAAAAGCAGACTGTTCAGTTGTTTTAATATCAAGCAAGCTGTTTGTTTTGGAGGCATCAAGGAAAGAAATGCCATCTCATCAGGAAAACCCCGTTCTAGTATGGAAACTCAAAGGGGACCCATTAGCAGAACAG